CTTCTCATGACTTACTGAAGCGGCCTTTCCAAGGACCTGGGCTCCCCTCTGCCAGCGCTGGGCAGAAGTCTAGCCACGCTTGTGCAAGGAGGGGTCTAAGACTCGGGTCTGACACAGGGCTTCTCTGCTATTGGGCCAAATTTGCAGCCTCCTCTCCCATTTTCCGTGTGCTTCGTCTCTGTCTCCTCTTCCCTAAACACATCCACATAAAAGATCATTTCAAGGAACAAACAGGATGTCAAATAAGCTTTTCGGGAAATGTTTCCCTAATGATTGCTCTAGAGTCCGAGAATATACTTGTCATTTTATTTTTAATGAATGCTTAAAAGGATTATAATGAGACTATAATGAAGAATGAAGTGCCTGCCTTCTACAAGCCTGAAAGGGGCTTCTCCTGTGAGCCTAGGAAGGTGCCCCTATTCCACACATAGTAGTAGTTCAGTGCCTATATTTTGCCTGGGGAAAACGGGGGAAATTTCTAATGAGAAAGCCAGTGTGAAAATAGTAGTTAATCATGATTTCCCCAGATAGGAATTCTGGGACTTACTGCTATTTCTACTTTTCTTTTTAATAAGACTTCTTGTAAACAAAATGATTATAATTTTTAACTGGTAGAAGGATTATGGGGGCTTGGAGGGCCCAGGTGCTAAATATAAGGAAACAGGGACAGAGGAGAGGTGGAAAGGTAGAAACGAAGGTGTGTACAAATGCCAGGGGAGCAACACGGATCCCAAAGACAGACTTAAGAGGCAAGAGAGGGACAGATGCACAGCAGTACGAGGATTCAACTTTTTTTTTTGATTATTGATGATGTATTGTAGGGTGTGCTTATTTGAAAAATAACTTTTAGGAGAAAACTAGAAAATGTGTTTTAATTTGGACATTTCCCAAGCTCCACTCAGCAACACGACTGTCACACTGTGAATAATTACTTTAAGGACACTATTCTTCACTTCAGCTTATGATGGTCTCCTTGGAAGCACTGACAGTAAGCTTTATGGGAGTCCCATTTATACTCATATAACATGGCCCGGGATGAATTTTAGCTTACGCATCGGAATTCTGCATGTGTTTTTGAGATTATAAGCACATGGCATACTGGTGACATAATTTACTTATTACCCTACTGTAGACAGAAGAAATAAAAATTGAGAAACCCATTTTGGGGGGGTGTAATTCTAAAGTCAGGAAGTTCAGGTTTTAGTTACCTTCAGGCTTTCAAATGACCTTTTGAAATTTGACCTCTGGCACTTGTTCCAGAAAAATAAGCCAAATAAAGTAATCCAGGTAACTCCTGAGTCTCTTCAAAGGGCTGGGGGTAAGGGAGGAGGAGGAGGAAGGGAACACAGAGATGACAGACTGTAACTGTCCTGAGTTTCTATCTGCGCAGACTGTACCCGTCCTGGAGTTTAAGTTAAGCAGCTGAAATCCACTTTCTCCCTCCTCTGACAGCAGACAAATGCATTGCCAGTGAAGACAGACCACAGTGGCTTGCACTGCATTTTTCATAAAAGCCTAGAACAGTCAGGCTTCCTACTGTGGCAGAAGTTTTCATCTGGGAAAAATATATAGAGACTCTCAGAAGGAAATACTGGATTTCTCAGTCAGAAAGTCTCATTGTGCTGGACAGTCTGGAGAGGATGTCAGCTTGACAGTGGCTTGGAGAAACGTCAGAACTCCTGCATTTCACTCATTTTGAGCTCTCATGCAAATAACCTAATTTTATTTTTGACCATTTCTTCTTTTTTTTAAATCAAAAATCTTATCCTTGGTTAAGCAGTATGACTATATGGTTCAATGCATGTTGAAGAGTCAGTGCTGGGAAAGCCTTTGACCTAAGAGACCAAAATAACAGGTTGACCTTGATTTACATCCCACAAAGCCTTGCATTAATACAAGGAAAAAGGACATGGTTTTAGTGCAAATTGTGAGAAAATAAGGAAGAATATTGCTTTGCTTTCTTATTAAAGGGATTCTGAAAACTTCTTAAATGATCTTAAGAGCAATTTTTCTTTCAGGAGCAAAAATATTTAGCCTTTGGAGCTGTATAAATATCTATTTTGTCAATTCATTTAATTGATCAGTAAATTTTTATTGAGTTCCTTTTAACTGTCAAGGCCATTTTAATGGCTAGGCTCTGGGTGTTCAAAAAAGACACTGCCATTCTCCCTTCTTACAGACAACAAGCAATTTAAAAAAAATACATGGTTAATTATCCTGGTAATTGACAGCAAGGAACAAATGAGCTACTCTAATAAAGACAACCTCTTTTAGATAAGGTGGTCAGGGAAGACCTTTCTGAGGACATGGTATTTAAGGTAAGACCTAAACAAAGAAGAGAAGAAGCCAGCCATATCAAGGAGAGATTTTAAAAATTACTGTTTCTGGAGAGAAGTTGCCAAGTGATAAAATTATATGCAGTTTTCAAATGTTCCTGAAGAAACCAAGAGAAAATGTATTCAGATTTCATTTTCCTGTTTTCTCTTTCTGTAATTTATTATTTGGATATAAGACATCCCGGACTGATGTACCATTTTTCATATGTTATTTTGCTTTACTTTTGGGGAGACTTTTCAAACTTCATTTTCCAAAATTCTATTAAGTCTTTATTTCTGCTCTCTTGTTTAAATTTCCAAAAGCGCTTTCTTATTTTCCGGTTGTCCACTGTTTGTCATTCTGTCCTTGCTTCATGAATGCAGTATCTTCTCTTACCTCTTGGAAGAGGTTAGGACCTTAGTTTAAAATGTTCATCTTCCTGCTTAGTCTGCTGTATTAGTCCTTTCCTCCGTATTTCTTCTTTTTCAGTTTGTTTTGGTTTCTTTTTCTTCCTGTAGGGAGTTTGGTGGCACTTGGCTGACTGCATATTTAAGGGTGGGCTACAAACAAGCTGATTATGCAATCAGAGGAGAATTCAGGCCAAGCTGATCACTGGAGAATTTGTAGGTCTTTTCTCTTTTACTGGTTAGAGTTCTCAGAGACAACCTCTCCCTGTCTGCCTGCAGGATATATGCCTAGTTGCCAACACTCAGAGTTAAGTTAGGGAAGAGAGCTGGATGTGTTTTCATGTAGTATAGAAATTTTATTTAATCTCTCGGCTATGACTGATGCCACGCCAGGACTCTCCCTTACTTTTTCAGAGAGCAAGAGTGTGTTTTCTACCTGGATTGATGAACACTCAGCTGCTTAGCTGGGTAGAGAAGATCAGGGGATCTGGGGATCTAACTGCTTCCTACCCAGACTTCCAACTGGCTACCTTCTCTTAGCCCTGCCATTCCCCTCCTTTTCCAGTGGCAACTAATGCCACCAATTCCTGAGACTTTCTACAAATCAGACTGGTGGTTTCTCCTTTTTCTCACTGCAGGCCAAGCAGTCAAATGTCTCAGGTCTTCTGTCAACTACTGCTTGTCCATTTGCTTTTCAGTTTCCAAATTTTTTTGCTATGAATTTCCCCATTTAAAAAAAATCTAATTTTGGACTTTTTCATGGAGCTTCAAGAGGCAGCAGAATTCCTTACCATAGATTCATATTATTAATCTACTGTCTTTATCCAGAAATTCCATATATGCTTTAATTTTTTTCGTTTCTTGTTATGCACCTTACATGCTAAAATATCTTTTTTGACTTACTGACAATGGAAATTTTCATTCTCATCTCTCCTGGCCTCTTCATAGAAGTCAACACGACTGCCCACTTCCTACTTCACGACATACTCTCTTCTTCAGCTTCTGGACACTACACTCGGCCAGCATTCCTCCTGTCTTCCTTCCCACTCCTGTGACTGTCTTGTGAGCTCATTCTCCTCTACTCACCATCAAAAACTGAAGCTCCTTAAAGCCCAGTGTTACATTCCCTTCTCTTTTTACTTTATATGCTCTCTCCGGATGACACATCACTCGAGCTCTTTGCCTAAGCACTAACAATTCACAAATTTGATATCTCCAGTCTAGACTCCACCTCTCAGATCTAGATCTATGTATCCAGCGGTTTATTTGACTTTCCTTGGTTGTTTCAAAGGTAGCCTAGATCCAGTGTACCTAAAAAATAACTTCTGATTTTACCTCCTTAAACGTGGTCCTCTTTGGAGCATTGTCTTGATAGTGTCACTACCCAGATACGCAAGCTGAAAACTAGGATTTATCCTTGACAATTCCTCCTCCCAATCCCCATATTCAATCTTTCTTCAAGTTCCACTGATGAGATCTCAAAGGTATGAGCAATTCATTTCCTTTTCTCCAGATGTTCTGCGAATACTTCCAAACTCCCAACATCTCTCAACTGGATTAGTGAACTAGCCTCCTCACTCATCTTCCTGATTCTGCGCTTCCACGTTCTCCACCCTAGGCCCAAACTAATTCTCACAGTCTTTTCAAAAGACTGCTTGAGTTTTCACATCTCTGCTTAAAATGGCTGATTTATTTGCATTTAGGATACAGATCTAAATCTTTATGTTTACTAAAACATCATGGAAGATGCAGCGTCTCCCTATCACATCAGTTTTATTTCATGTCACGTCACTCTTGGGTTTTCTGTATTTTAGCCTTATTTGCCATCTTTATTTCCTTGAATGCCTGTTGTCCCTCCTGACACAGGGCCTTTGCATGTGATGTTCCTTGTGTCTGGTTCTTCTTTGCCCAGCTATAACTACTTCCTTTAATTCAAACTGCTCAAGTGTCATCTCCTCTAGCATGAATTAGGTGTTCTATGTTGTGCTTCTCTCCATCGTACTATATTTAATCACTTATTTACACATTTGTCTCCCCACCAGAATAAGAGCCATTTGAACAGCTCTTTATGTCTGTATCCTTAGCATGAAGCACAGCATCTGGTAAGCTTTTTGTAATTGTATTGCAAATAAATAAAATAGCTCACTTATGTCAAGAAAAATAAATTATCAGTGATAAAAATAAATCTATAGTTCCTGATACATCAGAAAATAGGTATGATTTTCAAGAAAAATATTTTTCAAAGTGATTTTATAGAAAACAATCAAATGTCCTTACTTTTTTTGTTTTTCCCATTGCCTTCAGGATGGAAAGATTTAAGTCCTCCAGTGCTGCTAGTACATTCTCATACTCGCCCAAATGCTGAGAAAAATATTCTGAAAAGTGAAAATATTGAAATAAATACATGTTTTCATTTAGGTAATGATAAAGCAGAAACCAATGATTTACTCACTAAATGAGTAAAACAAACAGATGAAATTGAAAAAATTTCAAATGAGAGTAACTAAGTGTCAATATAATTTCATTAAAAAAGCCAAACCTGGAAGGGAAAAAATGAATCTGGATCTGTAGACAAGACTGCTTCAATAAATACTTCTCAACAGCATATCATTATAAATTTCACTAGGACACTAATTTCAGAAAAATTAAGCTAAATGTTATTGTTTCTTCTGGGAGACATTTGAGAAAGGTAAGCTTTCTTTAAGGTTAAGAATAAAATAGAACACAAGTATGGTCTTCTATGGTGTCTTCCATGTAACTACTTTTGCCATGATTTAACTTTTTTCAACAATCTGGGCAGAGGAAAAGGCATGTTTAACACATTTTTCAGTTGGTTGGGAATAAATACTACATTGGATGTTGCTTAAAATGAAAGGTATGGAATTTTTATTGATTCCAAACTAGTAAGTTGAAATATAATAGAGAGAAATGCACAACCTTGTATTTGCTTATATAAATCTGTATTTTTCTGAAATGCCAGAGATCTAGCCTCATGTAAATTCAGAGAAATTTGTATATTGAAAAGACATAGAGCTTCCAGTTACTAGAACATCAATAACCCTCCATTCCTGTAAACTCATCTTTGAGTGAACTGTAGTTTATTATTGTCTCTCTTTAGTGTGCTGTAAGTATCTATGGAATTAAAATGAATTATAAATATAATCACATATAAGCCACTCAAGACCACTAGAATAAATTTCGACATGTTTGAGGGAAATTTCCTTGATTAACTTATTTGATGCTCCAAGTAGAATTATTCGTTCACATTGATATTGATAATTAATGGGAAGTGCCATTGACTGATTTATTAGACAATGTGCAGGCTTCTCCTGAGAAAAAAGCAAACACAATAAATCAATTCTAGATTATGGTTGTCAAAATATAGTCTGTGTATACGTGGATTAAAAACAAATGACAGGTTTTTGACAAAAAGCAAATGCATTCTTGATTATGCATTTCTTTTAAAACATTGTGGTACATATTTCATATAGAGTTTCTTTCAGGAAGGGATTACTTGGAATACAAGAAAGCAGATACCTGCTCCAAAATAACATTTGAATTCTTGATAGTGTTGACTTCCTGACAGTGTTGATATAGATGTCTGACCTTATTTGTGCAATTATTTGCAGTAAATGAAGTCCCTGTGGACAAAACTCCTTATCAACCAGGAAGCAGTTAATGTGCCTATGAAATATAGTTAAATTCAAAAAATAAAATGATCAGACTAGAGTCTGTAGTAAGTTGAAACAAGTAAAAGTGTAAATAAAAAATGCAAAAGGTGAAGTTGTTAGCACATTTTTATTTTAATATATACAAAGACTCAAGGAAGATTGCAATGGGGATTTTAAATAAAAACAGGCTAAAGTGAAAACAAAAAAAAAATTTGGTGCTGAAAAGGCATGGTTATTAAAAAAAGAAGGAAAGCCATCTTTTTTTTTTTTTGGATTTTCAGAAGCAATTTTATTACTGTTTCTTTTTT